GATTTTATGAAAACATCAAATGTATAAATTAATACTTTAAAGATAACTATTTACATGGATTGTGATGAGGAGAACTTATTCTCTTCCTAATTTTATTGTGGGGGAGCGGGTGGGGGCGGGCATCAGTAGCATTGCCTTATATTTATAAATAAGGTTCAAAAGTCCGAAATCTTCCAAGTTCGAGTGTCAAAGCTACAACACCAACGTGACGACACAGAGGAGTTCTATGTATTGTTAATCTCTTGTGTGCTCTCCCTTTCGCAGAGAAAGGTGGTGATTGCGTCTCCTTGATGGCAATAGACGTCCGCAAGTTGGTCAAGTGTGTAGATGGCCCACTCTGCAACCCTGACACCTCCAAGTGTGAGGTCCTTACAGATCTTTAGCTCACTAAGGTAAGTCATGTTATCGCCATGTAATGTTATCACACTCAAAGTTACTGCACACTGGGCATTTACCTGTGTGCTCGGTTCTTTAATGAAGTAGCCTGTCTAAGGCAGCTGTGCTGACTGTTTCTATAGAGATTTGGTTACAGTCTTTTATTTCTTGACATCGAAGACAACCGCAGCAACTTTGCTTCCCAGTGAACATTGGGCGAAGTGGTCTTGCTCTGAAGGTCATAGGTTCGTTGCACGATGGTGTACCTAAGTTCACAGGTGAATATTTCACAAAGAATGACGATATCAGCTCTGTCAATGCTTCTTTCCGTTTGCATTAATTGTCAGCAAGTCAGCTCTTTCGTTACCATTTACTCCTGCGTTGCCAAGTGTGTAGATCCAGATGATAAAGGCTAACTGTGACTTCCAAATGCTGTCTACTGGTATAGACTACCAGTGCGGGTAGACAGGCTTTCCCTGAGACATACCTTCTCTGTGACTCAATGAGTACGGACATTACTGAACGCAGAACGTTCCAGAGATCTCTTCCCTGACCTGACACTGCCAAGCATTCCAGGAGTAGAGACCAGAAAAAGCAACGGAAGTTGTCAAGGATGCTCAACGAAGGGAAAGATAGCCTCATCTTATTGAGACTGTTGACCACCGTCCGCGTGTCCATACGATGGTGTTACTTTATTCTAGAGGGAGGCGTGGGACTCACAGCCTCATGGCGATGGCGAGTGGGACTAGTAAGACCCACGCCTGTAGGATTAGATTTCCAGTTAGAGCTGGGGAATGGGATTTCAGCCACATAATAATTTTGTGAGGGGGGGGAGGGAGGAGGCCCAAGAGGCTAGAGCTTTGTTGAAGTGTGCAATAATAATGTAATTGCTTTGTTATTATTATTATTGTTTATATTAGTATTTTTATTATTATTATTATTATTATTATTATTAGGAGCCGCAGCCGTATTGCAGCTAGACGCTCGCATGTGGACCCGAAGCTCGTGGATTCGTTTTTGCGTGGAGCCGTTACTAAAATAAGTACCAAGTAAATTCCTGGGAAGTAAAAGCGGCCTGTGAGATGTTAACCACTGTGAGGTAGACACATGCTCGGGAAATTTGTATTTTGTATTCCATGGTTGGAAAAATCAAGAACGTAGCGCATCGCCCTGCATGTCGTACCTCTTGTACACTTTGTGCAGTTTGTGCGGAGATTCATGGAAATCGCCCCGCATCTACGGGGTTCGTGCTTTGTGTGTCGCTCTAGGTAGGCGGCCAGAGAGACCAATCAATAAAGGAAAAACCCCGTGCATGAGGTCTATCCTCTCGACTTGAACCTCTGTCTATATATTGCAAATTGAACATCACGTGATGTGAAACCTCAAAATAATGTTTATTTCCTTTAGAATGTGTCTGTAGTAAATATTAAATTAATGACGCATACGTGTACATATAAGATAATTCGACTGAGTGCAATGTTTCTTTTTTCACACTCGCAAGGAACAAACACAATATGTTTTCTGGTGTTTATTCATTTACAAAGCGTTGTTAATCCATGTTAACTACACGGAAGATACAGCCAGTTCCTCGAAGCTTACTGTCTTCTTCCGCCGTGCGCCATGATGGAACTTCTTCTAAAGAAAGAAATGAGAATAAGTCAGGAAATCATTTTTTATGAAGTTTAATGGGTGCTTTACTAATATCCTACCCCAGATTACGTCACAGGACGTTCCAACATTTTAGATCGTGGTAAGACTTCGTTTCTCGTCTTTCTGGTGCTTTTAACGACCCCAAAACATTTATAACTGGCCCTTATCCCAAGCCACCTACGTCTCACGAGAGAGTGCAGCATAGGTCCTACGAGTGCATGCAGTCTAGGTCCCACGACTGCATGCACCCTATCTACCACCCCCTGAAATATTAGACTGTTCCGTGACCTGTGAATTTCCCCGGCTTGGGGTATGATATTAATAAAGCACTGTTTCATGTACGCAACACATAACGACAAAACAACAGTTTGTATGTCACGTGACGGTCCCGGTCAGCACAAAGAAACATTTCCTACACAGAACATTAATCCCCACCCTCTGTTACCACGGGGTGCTGCCACGGTGTAGCGGCTAGATGATTACCTGCTGATCTCCGAAACTTCAGTTCCTGACCAGGCCGGCATTTTTCAAAAGTGACTCTGGCTCCCAGGTCGACACAGCCGTAAATGGGTACCAGATAAAGTCGTTAGAAGTAAAGGCGGCCGGCATGATGTTGAAAACATCAACGAGAGAGTGCCAGTTGATCTTTAAAATATTGGTCTAGCCCTATATGCCCAATACTTATGAAGGCGTGGAAAAGGGTCCTTTACTTTTTATTAACTTTATGCCATCATTACCAGACATGGTTACTCACAAAAAACGGCAAAGGCCAATTATTAGAAATGGAAATGAGATGCTCGGGAAAGTGTGCTCGAGTGGCCAGAGGAGATGAAATAATCAGGCTTGAAACTGCTCGAGTGGCCAGAAGAGATGAAATAATCAGGCTTGAAACTAAGAGAAACAGCTTGCACAGGACAAATACTAGATCTCCCACAAAGACAGCAAATTAAAAGGTTAGAGTGAATTCCTTTTGATGCCGTACAGGGCATACATCACAAGAGGAGAGGGTTACAGAGCATCAAATAGACCAAGAACTATACGCAAAGATAGCGTCGGAGAAAACTGTAGGGTGTTTCTTCAGCTACGGCGGTCAGAAAAGCAAACAGTAGAACCTTGCATCTCCCTGGACACTGTAAACCGGAAATGATGTAACAGGAAGTGAAAAAGAGGATTATTATTATTACGTGGTTTTACAATAGAAGCCTCCGTTGAACATTAGGCTAGAACATGTTCTCAGTAAATAGATGTTGCAGGTGGTTCTTGTCCGTCGACTTCTGGAGCCAGGGGCAGAGTGTAGAGAGAACACACAACTGGTTAGAGCAAAGGAACAGATGAACTTACATTCTTTAGTGACTGTAAGGTTGGCATCTCCCAGTCCAACCATTGCAGAACCATCCAGGCTTACATCTGCGTCTTGCTAACAACCCGCCAAAAATTGGTGGACGACACGACTCTCCCATTTCTGAAAAAAATAAAAGGCTACTAACTGAAAAGAAATATTATTCATCCGCGTTTACATTTATTTTCAAAGGTTTGCCATTATACAAGTTTGTTTCTCCTTCGCTAATCTGGCTGTTTGCATGTGTCTTCTTGGGTTAAAGTAACGTTAACCTCCCCAAATAGAGTCGGTCATTTTTCATTCACAAGTTTTTAAGCTGGTCGACTTTAATGAAGGTTACGGGTGTGTCCCGCATTGTTGTTTTCTTTCTGTGTTGTCTTGCATTTAGGTTTTCATTCAGAGAAAGAGAATGCCTGTGACATAGGTTGCAGCACTCTCTACGGGCGTTATGTTAGGGCCAGTTTTTCCATGCTTTTGGAGTGTTAAAAGGGCTGGCTTGCTTAAATATACAAAACGCGATATCAACGGCATTGCGGAACACCCCAGTAACATTGTGCCAAAGGCGACAGGTTTATGAACTACCAATCAAAAGTGAGCTAGTGTGTATATGGACGGGGCGGGGAGATTGACGTTACATGTACCGTCTTCTTGATTGTCTAGTATTGTTAGCCAGGCGTTTTTAGAAATGTCTTACTATTTTTTGGAGGGTGCGGTGGAGGGTTCTCTGAGAGGCTATCATGGATATCCTAAATACTCTTGATTTTATGAGAGTACAAGGAGTATCAAGTAACGGGATCTGACCGCTCGGACGCTTTATATAATACAGGATTTTTACTGCAAGGTCCTACACTGTGTTGTATACAGTATATTTTAGTAATGTCCCTTAGTTTTGTTATCTTTATGAACCTTTTCGGGTACGGAAAGATCCCAGATCATGCTGTCTACGGGACATTTTGAGATTTTCCCAACATTTTGTCTCTAGAACGTTTAAGATTGATAGAAACATCTTAGAAGCACCATGGGCCACTGGGCAAATCAGTGTTATGTGGCCCTGACGATGACCTCTCACAGGCATGACATGTAAGTGGTCGACAGTGTGTTAACCGGTGTTAAACATACACACAGATTAGATGAAACAGCATGAAAATACTACAAACTTCTTATATTACAAGTCACTTGACATACACAGATTAGATGGCCCAGCATAAAATGACTACAAACTTCTTATATTGCCAGCCACTTGACATACACAGATTAGATGGCCCAGCGTAAAATGACTACAAACTTCTTATATTACAAGTCACTTGACATACACAGATTAGATGGCCTAGCGTATAATGACTACAAACTTCTTATATTACAAGTTACTTGACAAACACAGATTAAATGGTCAGGCGTAAAATTACTATAAATCAATGCAGTAGGTTTCCGGAGACTTGAGTCTATGTAACCCCCCCCCCCCCCCCCCCCCCCCAAAACAACTGACAGGGATGAACATGATGTGTGGTTTTTTCGCTGGCACCTGGCAGGGAGCAGCTATGGGACAACCCGTTTGCTGTGAAGTTCCAACTGCGTTTACCTGATGCTGATTACCGACTGTACTATAAAAAATGCACACAACGAACTCTAAACTTACGATGTATTTTGATACATGCGTCACAGCAACCACACAATCCTGCGTTCTTGACAATCGTATGCCGGCAGTTTCTGGGGGTCAGTTTGGCGCACTTTATCAACCTGCAGTCTTGTCTACAGGCGATGAGTTTTTGAGAGGTCACTCCCATAGCCAACAAGGCCAGCAGTAGCAGGAGCAGCAGCGGGGTGCTCATTCTTGCAGTCTGGATTTAAAAAAAAAAAAACTAAAGATTTTTAGCATTGTGTGTAGGGGCGCTAGAAAGTGAATGTTATGTTATCATAATCGACAATATTGCGCATTAGACATTCCCATGCGTGCTCAGTCCTCCGATACAGAATCCATTCCAAGGTACCTATACGGGGTATAACCAACTTAAGAAGTTAAGAAGTTAGTTACAGTGTCTTATGTGTTGACCTCAAAAATGAAACAGACGTACTTCACCAAACTGGACTCTTAGGTGTGAGTGTGTGAGGGTGCCCTAAGGGCACATTACCACTCCGAAAATGTATGAAGCGGTTAACCGGCCTCTCCTCAGCATGTTCTTCTTTTAGGTCGCTATAACTAAGGAGTTCGTGTTTTGTGTGACACTCAGCAAACTCTAGGAAAATATATATATATATATATATATATATATATATATATATATATATATATATATATATATATTTATATATGTGTGTGTGTGCATGCAAGCGACACAGAGAGAGAGAGAGAAAGAGAGAGAGAAAGAGAGAGAGAGAAAGAGTAAGTGAGAGAGTGAGACAGAGAGAGAGACAGAGAGAGAAAGAGAGAGAGACAGGGAGACACAGAGAGAGACAGAGGGAGACAGAGAGAGACAGAGAGAGACAGAGACAGAGAGAGACAGAGAGAGACAGAGACAGAGAGAGAGACAGAGAGAGACAGAGAGAGAGACAGAGAGAGACAGAGAGAGAGACAGACAGAGATAGAGAGACAGAGAGGGACAGAGAGAGAGACAGAGAGAGACAGAGAGAGACAGAGAGAGAGACAGAGAGAGACAGAGAGAGAGACAGAGAGATAGAGAGAGACACAGAGAGAGACAGAGAGAGAGACAGAGAGGACAGAGAGAGACAGAGAGAGACAGAGAGAGACAGAGAGAGAGACAGACAGAGAGAGACAGAGAGAGAGACAGAGAGAGAGAGATAGAGAGAGACAGAGAGGGACAGAGAGAGATACAGAGAGAGACACAGAGAGAGACATAGAGACATAGAGAGACAGAGAGAGAGACAGAGAGAGAGACAGAGACAGAGAGAGATAGAGAGACAGAGACAGAGAGAGACAGAGAGTGACAGAGAGAGACAGACAGACAGAGACAGAGAGAGATAGAGAGAGACAGAGAGAGATAGAGAGAGACAGAGAGAGACAGAGAGAGAGATAGAGAAAGACAGAGAGAGACAGAGAGAGACAGAGAGACAGAGAGAGAGACAGAGAGAGACAGAGAGAGACAGAGAGAGACAGAGAGAGACAGAGAGAGAGACAGAAAGAGAGAGAGAGAGACAGAGAGAGACAGAGAGAGGGAGACAGAGAGAGAGACATAGAGAGAGAGAGAGAGAGAGAGAGAGAGAGAGAGAGAGAGAGAGAGAGAGAGAAGGTTATACAGTTTTAAACCTGGTGCTATGAAGTTGTGCCATATGAAAAACTCAAGAATATTTTGGCGTTAAATCAAGTTGCTGACTTCCGTCTTCAAAACATGGCTGTACAATTAATTAATTTCTGGCCAGTGAAGCGATTTACTGCCCTGGCAACGTCAGGTTAATTAAATAAGATGTCGATTGAACATAAATATTAAAAGTAACGGCGGTGAGTGATGACGGCGGCGGAAAGGAGTGAGGATAGTAGCGGAGAAAGATGATGAAAGTAGTATAGAAGGATGCAGATGCAGGGGATCTTTTATGGACCGATCGGCATTCGGTGGCTGATATGGTCATCTACCCAGGGACCCCAACCCACCAGTGCCGTGGAAACGTTTAGCCGGACTGTATAAAAAATAGCTGCTGAATCATTTTACCTCCTTTTTAGGACGTAATTTTTTGTCATTTGAAGCCCCGCTCTGGCTTTTGCCGGGGGCCGCAATATAGGCAGGCCATAAATATGGCCAATTGTCTGAACGCGGTTTCTGGGACCTCTCCACGGTGATCCTCATCCACATGGTGGCACTTTGTGTCATCGGGTGTTTATCGCTTGTGTGATGTCCTGGTGGGGTAGAGAGTCAGTCAGTCAGTAATTGAACGGGATAGAGTAGGTGTTTGTTCTCTTCCAGCGCCCAGCTTTCTAGCGTAGTTGTCTAAACCGGATTGCGCGGTGACCGGGTGACAAACTCCTTGTGGTCCGGGTTCACTCCCGGGGGTAGGCAGAAAATCCACATTTCTCCCAGATTTACGGTATTTTATGGAATCAAGGACGAAGGGTTGCGATATCCATAATACCGAGCCTAAGGGTTAACAACTCATGGCTTCTGGATACTTTAAAAAAACAAAAAGATCTCTTTCAGCACTGCAGTCTGTCTTAAAGATAATATTAAACAGGTACAAATCCCACAAAAACCCATTCAAGCGTGCAGAACACTTACATTAGACACGACCTCCTGCAGCTTTGGAATTTAGCTAGAACCCGGCCGTGCATGAGGGCACCCAACGGTTACGTAATTGTAACTAAGGACTGTAACGTAACAGCTAAGCTGTTAATTCTAGTGTTATATTGGAGCGGCCACGTGAATCCAATTTTCTAACATCTAAGCCTCAGCTGCAAATTTAGTTAGTTAGTTAGTTAGTTAGTTAGTTAGTTGGGTTATCATCATTGCACTCCGGACATGTCCATAGGTGCTCAGATCCTCCCCTCAGTATGAATCCCAACGTCCGATGGCTAATAGTACCAGTTCTATGTTGATTAACAAGTCTTATGACGTGTCCGGTGTGCGTCTCGTTTTTTGCTGTGCCGATCTTAATTCCCAAGTCTGCCATTCTGGCGAGTGATGTGGATTCAGTGCCACCAAAGTCCTCTATCCTTCCCATTTCTCTGAGGGCATTGATAATATCAGCATGATCCATAGGCCGACCGTCGGTAGTGATAGCGGATCCAGCCAACCTGTCAGCTCTTTCATTTCCATCGACGCCTGCGTGTCCCGGAACAAAAATAAAGGTGACTCCTCGCACAGTGGACTTCTGAATTGATTCAAGCCATTGTCTTCGCACTGAACCTGCCTGAACCCTCCGGATCATACTCATTGAATCACTGAGTATACATATGCGGGTGTATTTTTGTGTTTCAAGCCAGGCAAACGCTTGCGTCACTGCCATCACCTCCATCGTCATGCTGCTGGTTGTCATGGAGAAGGCGCCGTTGGCTTCTTTGACTGTTCTGCCCGCTGAGCGTGCTGTAAATGCCCATGCGCTTCTTCTTTGGCGTATAACTGATCCGTCTGTATAGATTAGTGCATCTGCTTCGTCTGAATTTTCACCGATGAGAGCGTTGACCTTAGCTGCAAATGTTGCACCAGATGAAAATTGAAATTTGGTGACATTGGAATCAAGAAATACAACACTGTCTTATACTTGTTTTTGTTTCTATGTGAGGTTATCAATCAGGTGTGCAGTGAAACTATTTGCCCGGTGTGACGTGGTCCGCGGGTGGGAAAAGGTTGATCTATTTTCCCTACGGGACGTGGTCCGCTGGTGGGAAAAGGTTGATCTATTTTCCCTGTTTTAAGTGGTCCGCTGGTGGGAAAAAGTTGATCTATTTTCCCTATTTAATGTGGTCTGCAGGTGAGAAAAGGTTGATCTATTTTCCCTGTTTTACGTGGTCCGCAGATGGGAAAAGGCTGATCTATTTTCCCTGTTTTACGTGGTCCGCAGGTGGGAAAAGGTTGATCTATTTTCCCTATTTGATGTGGTCCTTAGGTGGGAAAAGGTTGATCTATTTTCCCTATTTGATGTGGTCCGCAGGTGGGGAAAGGTTGATCTATTTTCTCCATTTGTGGTCCGCTGGTGGGAAAAGGTTGATCTATTTTTCCTATTTGATGTGGTCCGCAGGTGGGAAAAAGTTGATCTGTGACATTTAACATAAGACCTAACAAGGTGTCCTATGCATGAATGCTTCCCTGTAAGAAACAACAAAATTAGATCCTACCTTGTGGATTAATGAACAGCACAAACGTTCAGTCTGTGAGCCTTGGTTCGGTGTGGCCACAATCTTCAGATGTAAGGCGATGTCGATGTTTGACTAGTTTGTGTGTGTGGTGTATCGATTGGGTCACTTCACATGTCCAGGTAGCGATCGATGAACGTATTTAGAAGTTTAGCTGACCTTTTGTAAAATATGAGAAAACAAAAGATAGAGAGACAGACAGACAGTCAGATAGACATGCGGACGAGCGCGCCTATAGATGGACGGACGGACACATACATTAGATAGATAGATAGATAGATAGATAGATAGATAGATAGATAGATAGATAGATAGATAGATAGATAGATAGATAGATAGATAGATAGATAGATAGATAGATAGATAGATAGATAGATAGATAGATAGATAGATAGATAGATAGATAGATAGATAGATAGATAGATAGATAGATAGATAGATAGATAGATAGATAGATAGATAGATAGATAGATAGATAGATAGATAGATAGATAGATAGATAGATAGATAGATAGATAGATAGATAGATAGATAGATAGATAGATAGATAAATAGATAAATAGATAAATAGATAAATAGATATTTAGACCGTCACAAAAATAAATGGACTAAAAAAAATATTAATTTGCTTATGTAATGTTAACCTAATTATTGAGAATACAGTAAAATGAAGACAGTAATACAGTAAAATGAAGACAGCAATACAGTAAAATGAAGACAGCAATACAGTAAAACGAAGACAGTAATACAGTAAAATAAAGACAGTAATACAGTAAAATGAAGACAGTAATACAGTATTGTCTTGACATAGCTTCACTTGTAATGACTGTCGCTGCCGTAAAGCGAACCCACAACCTTCAGAGCGTGAGTCAAACGGCTTGATCACCTCACCACGGACACAACGAAATGTATATTGTAGTCATTGGGAGCTCCATGTTTCTCAAACAGAAATCAGTCCTAGTGACTCGATGTTTTAAGGATGGAATCTTTTATAGTTTGTCGACGTCATCTGTATATGAGTGGAGCCAAACTGAATTGGGG